AGATTCACTCCTTTGGAGCTGATGAAGAGGAGTTTGAGAAGTACCAGTCTTCACAGTCGCACCTGGAAAACTTGCAGAAGAGCTTAGGGCCTCTAAACAATGAAGATGACAAGTTCGTCTTCATTGTTGAGGGCAAGGACAGTCCTGTGCTCTTAGCTGGCGGTGTGGTCTTTGGCAGTCTTGTAAGTTAATTAGGCTTGATATTTCTTCGCAAGAATGACCATGTTGTCATCTGCAGCTTCCTCACAACATACAATTAATGTAAGCATGTGTGGCATACATTGCAGCTGCAATGCAGTGCAACCATGAACTGCTTGAAATTAATGTCTTTGCCTGCTGGATTATGCATTTTATGCTACTGCTAATAACATAATAATTATGTTTCTTTTCATACATGTCCACAACATTGAATAAGCACTGGTCGGTCCCTCCATATTCACGATGCAGGAAAACACGGACAAGGTGTCCATTTTCATTCTGCACAGGGTGAACAACAGCAAGAAGACCTCCATGGTATTGCCCAGTGGTACCATTAAGATTGGCAAGGAGCTCAAGAAGCACACGGTCGTAGAGCTTCCACTGCAGAGCCTACTTGGCAGATTCAGCAAGCAGCAGGTCAAGGAGTGGGCTTTCTCCCATGGCTGCACAAATGTTCTATGGAATGACTCCATGGTCCAGTACAAGGGCAAGCTGGCGTTGGTTGCTTAGAGAGGTTCCTTGATGAGCAGGGATACAGAGCAAGTGGGCAGCTGCAGTCTAGAGCTATGTGGTTCAGTGGTGTGTAGTAGGTGTTCACTAGGAAAAATGGAAGCAGTGCAGTAGTAGTGTGAAACAGGTCACAGGTGAAGGTTGTTGAAGAACATGTGTGTATAATTGCATGCCAAGAAAAGGTACTGCTGTTGCTGTGATGATTTTGGTAGCAGCCTCCAGACTTGTAAAGAATAGAGACAATAGATGCCTGTACAGGCCAGCTGGCTGTGCACTATACTGCACAATTCCACATGATGAGCAAGTGAGGTGACCAGGGCGACCCAGACTGTTGTGTGAAATACATACATATGTATATAATTCCTGACGAATGTGGTTTTGTGCCTACCCATGCACTACAAGCTTCTATCCCCAATGATGGCAAATAGATGTTGATGGCATGAATAATGAAGTCAGACAGCTTTCCAAAAAAAAAGAGAATGTGTGATTTTAATAGTGGACAGGGAATCATGTAAAAGCTCATAAAATTTACAGCGTCTGAAACTCAATACGGCAATAAAAATCCTTCAACAAAAGTTCAGCAAATTATCTAATGGCAACAGCCAGTAACATGATGGAACTTCCTTTTAACAGGTCCCTGCTCGTAACAGCTTTCAAGGCCTGTTAGCAACTACAGCCCTTGGCACCGCTTAACCGCTTAAGTGAATTGAACAATTGCTAACGATTAGCTTCCCAAAACCCTAACAGCCGTCAAAAATTCTTTCTCAGCATCTGGGTGACCCACCCAGAGTGTAACATCCTGTCAACAATATCCTGTTGTGGCAGACAGTGCTCAGTTACAGGTCCTTACAGCTGCTAACAGTCCCTAGAAGCAGACAACTGTTAACAGTGTGGGCTCCAGGTATATGTCAGTCACAGGGCCAAACAGGACAAGACAGCCTCTAACCCAGTGTCTAACTGGCTGTTATGCCACGTTGACAACTATCGTCAGCAGCTGATAATGAGCCCGTCTGACAGCCCCGCCTAAGAAGTTAGACGCTGTTAGACCCCCTATGAGTTGGTAGGGGTTTGCCCGTCTGTTTGCGGGTGAAAAGCTGTGCTCATATAGAGGTGGGTGCCCAACAGGCGAAATGTTTCCTTCCAGAAATTACTTGTGAAGCGAGAGTCCCGGTCTGAAATAATGTTCTTTGGAAGGCCGTGCTGCCTGAAGACGGTAGCCACAAAGAGGCGGGCTACATCTTCAGCTGTAGCGGTTGTGTGTGTGGGAGCAAAGTGCGTCATTTTGCTCAGCCGGTCCACGAACACTACAATCGCATCGTGCCCATTGCGGGATGTCGGTAGCTGCGTAACCAAATCCATTGTCACGCTTTCCCACACCTCCGTTGGAATGGGAAGGGGCTGCAGTAATCCACCCGGCTTAGCATTTGTTGGTTTGTTACGCTGACATTGGGGACATGATTTGACGTGTTCTTTAACGTCAGAGTCAAGCCCTGGCCACCAATATGATTGTGCGATCGCTTGTTTGGTGCGGTCTATACCGCGGTGGCCTGCGTAAGGGACATCATGATACTCGGTCAAGATGGCTCTTCGCAGTTCAGCATTTTGAGGGACATAGATCTGGTTTCCCCGATACCAGAATCCATTCCTTCGTTTTAACTGCAGCTTGGCTACTCTTGATTTAGCAAGGTTTGGATCACCGTCGTACCCGCTTTTGATTCGGTGTCCCAAGTCGCTGTCCGCCAGCGAGGCCGTAAGCACATTAAGCACCGTGTCGTGAACCCGACTAATAGGGTCTGCGACATTAATCCGTCCGGGTCGGTACTCCCAAGTGAACTGGAATCGAGACAATCGTTCCAACCATCGAGCTTGCCTTCTGGAAAGTTTATCGGCGCTTTTCTGCTCTTGCAGATAGACCAAAGGTTGATGGTCCATTACTAGGGTGACATGACTCGCACCTTCCAAGTAACAACGCCATTCTTCCATTGCCAGGACTGTGCCCAAGCATTCTTGGTCTGTGGTGGAATAATTGTATTCCGCGCTGCTGAATTTAGAACTCGTATAAGCAACTGGTCGGTCGTCTTGTAACAAGACAGCGCCAGTGCCATGCAGCGACGCGTCAGACCAAACTACGAAGGGTTTGTCAAGCTCGGGGAGTTTTAATACTGGTGCGTTTGTCAAGGCATCTTTCACACCCTGAAAGGCAGTATCACACTCCTTTGTCCAGTGGAAGGGCACTTTCGCACTTGTTAGGGTTGTGAGGGGGGCCACGAGAGAGGAATAACCCTGGATGAACCTCCGAAAATAATTGGCTAAGCCAAGAAACGCGCGCAATTTAGAGGCGTCGGTTGGTACCGGCCATTCTTTCACAACTTTAACTTGCGCTCGTCTACT